TTTCTGCCTCCAAAGACAGCAGAAGTAAAAACTAAAAGGCAGAAATGAAATCCACAGGCAGACAGCCCGGCGCCACACCCTGGGCCTGGTAGTTAAAGATCGACCCCTGACCTAATCGGTTCTGTTGTCTATAGATTACAGACATGGTATAGAAAAGCACTGTGAAAATCCCTATCTTGTTTTGTTGCCATCTAATTACTGGTGCATGCAGCCCCCAGTCACATACCCGCTGCTTGCTCAATCAATCACGACCCTCTCACACGCACCCCCTTAGAGTTGTGAGCCCTTAAATGGGACAAGAATTGCCCACTCGGGGAGCTCGGCTCTTGAGACAGAAGTCTTGCCAATGCCCCCGGCCGAATAAACCCCTTCCTTCTTTAACTCAGTGTCTGACGAGTTTTGTCTGTGGCTCGTCCTGCTACAAAGACACTTGCTTTAGCCTGAAGACTCTCACAGCTGACAGTCAATAAATGGTTACTGAAGGAGTGAAATAAAGAAGAAATAAAAATTACATTTCTCGGTTAACTGAATTAAATCAGGAACTTAAAGGGAGAACCTAACAGAACAAATCAGATTTTCAATAGTCTATCTACAGTACCAAATATCTCAGAGAGAGAATTAACCCTTCTCTAAGGCAGTCTAAGTTCTAAAAACTATACAACCTATATAAATATTTCAATTCCCAACATACTTGATAACATTATAAAAAGTCCTTGCTCATACCAGAGATTTCCTGGAGAATGGAATTCCCAGAGCTCATTTTGCTCATTATGTGTATCACAAACAATTAGTTATATAGCTTTCATTTTTACCACTATTATTCATTTTATCACCAATGCAGAACTTAAAGTGTTTATAAAACAGAGAAAAAGTGAAACATTCCTCTCCCCAAACAATACAGAATGTACTACAAGTTTGTTTCTATACTGGAAAAAATTTAAAGGTAAAAAATTCTAGGTCACTTAAGTTCCTCCCTGCTGCAAATGAAACATAAAAGCCATTGTCTCCTAACCTCTAGAAAACTCATTAGCTTCCTCTGAATAATTTTCTCCTCGTTATATAGGCATGCTTTGGCATTCAACACGTTTTAGCCAAAACATTTATGGATTATTGGCAACCGAGAAATAAAAGAAGACATAAAAGTTTTTATTTTATTTTTATGTCACAGAGAAATTCCTATGAAGCTAAAGAACTCTAGTATTGAATTTCTAGACATATATAGCCTTTCTAAGTGAAGACGTACCCTTTCTGCCACTGCGCCCGGCTTTGATTCACACTTTTTTCTGTGCCCAAATATTTTTCTTATATATTTTGCTTGCCTTAATCCTTCTCACCTCCAATTTGTTGTTGTTGTTGTTTTGTTTTTGAGATGGGGTCTCGCCCTGTCACCCAGGCTGGAGTGCAGTGGCGTGATCTCGGCTCACTGCAACCTTCACCTCCTGGATTCAAACAATTCTCCTGTCCCAGCCTCCCAAGTAGCTGGGATTACAAGCACATGCCACCACACCTGGCAAATTTTTGTAGTTTTAGTAGAGATGGGGTTCCACCATATTGGTCAGGCTGGTCTTGAACTCCTGACCTCGTGATCCGCCCACCTCGGCCTCCCAAAGTGCTGGGATTACAGGCGTGAGCCACTGCGCCCAGCCTCCCACCTCCATTTTTATCATGAATATCAGGTTCTCCAAGAGGCCTCCTTTAAAGTAGGTGATTTCCCTGTCTTGGAGCATCCATCTTAACTTTCAAATTCTTGATCACAATTTGTAATTATATGTTCGATTACTGACTTGTTCGTTGACTGTCTTGACTCTTACTCATTACAATGCAAATTCCCTGAGGGCAGGAAGCAAGTGTGTTTTATTATCACCGTCACCTGCTGGCATAGTTCTTAGTGCTCAAATATTCTCAATGAATCGTGAACAAAATCCGGAGTAAAACAAATAGGTCAGGCTTCAAGCAATGCTTTCTAAGCCCCTTTTCAAGTTGTTTTGTTTTGGAGACGGAGTTTCACTCTGTCACCCAGGCTGGAGGAAAGTAGCAAGATCTCGGCTCAGTGCAAGCTCCATCCCCCAGGTTGAGGTGATTCTCCTGCCTCAGCCTTCTGAGTAACTGGGATTATAGGTGTCCCCCCATCACGCCTGGCTAATTTTTGTATTTTTTCAGTAGAGATGGAGTTTTCTCATGTTGGCCAGGCAGGTCTCGAACTCCTGACCTCAGGTGATCCACCCGCCTCGGCCTCCTAAAGTGCTGAGATAACAGGTGTGAGCCACTGCGCTTGGCCTCAGTCTCTTTAAATATTGAAGGGAGTTGGCACTTCGTGGGAGTTAAGATAACATATCTTAGAGACTAACAGGCTGTTGTGTACCAATGGCTTGAGCTGTACCCACCCATCCACTTCCATCCCTACAGGTGAGATTGATTAGTTGAATGCTGGCTAAGCCATCGTTGCCCGAGGCCCATAAAACTATTGCCTCCTTGATGAAGGCAAGTTAGCAGACCCTGAGCCTTTCTCCCCAGGAATCCCGGAATCAACAACAATAGGATGTCCAAAGAAAGGAAATTTTAAATTGTAAAAAAGACAACCCAATTGCTGAATTGCTCTTT